TGATAACTTGTTTGTAGAAGTGTTGCTTTTCTTTCTTCAGTTTTTAAAGTCTCTGCCAGTGAAAGAATCTGTTCCGCTTCAGTTAATTCTAATATTCTTTATAACAGACAGAGGTGGCGTAATCTCTTAGGATCACCACTGCCCCCTAGCTTGAGTCTGAGGAGCTACGTGTCTCACCATAGTTTTTCTTTGCAGACACCTTATGATTGTTTGGCACAAGAAGCGCATTACACACGCACAGTTGTTAATAATTAAAAAAAACTATATAAATTCAGCTTTTAATGAATTCAAATTTTAATACTGACCTACAGAGAGACAGCAAAACAATACAATGTAAGGCTGCCTCACTGTACACCTCTTCTTAGTACCTGGTAAATATGAAAAAAAAATCCAAAAAAGGGATTTTAAATGAAAAAAATGATTAAGTAACTGAATAAATATTATTCTTTAATTAGATTTTATACTGTGTAGAATTGTGGCCTTCTGTTAGAAGGTTGCTGGTTCGAGGCTCGCCAGTGAGGAGTTGCATGTTCCCCTTGTGGATGCATGGGTGTCCCCCACAATCCCAAAAACATGCAGTTAATGTGTGAGTGAATGTCGCCCTGCGATGGATTGGCAACATCATATCTCATCCAAAATGTGCTGGGGATGACATCAAGTGGGTAAAGAAGATGAACGAATGAAAGTGAAAACATGAAAACCTTCTTTTTTTTTTTACTTGCACTGGCTCCCTAAGTGCCAGAGTTTGGGGTTTCTTTCAAATTGTTGTGGGAATTTTCTAGACATTGGGGCTCTGCAAGTCTTCCAACATGAGGGAAATTTACACACAAGCTCATTTCCAGTTCTGATTAAACATATAACATGGATTGTTTGATGTCAACACCGGTAAAAACAATAATGGAAACCAACGTGAGAAACCAATGCCTTGAACAATTTGAAATGAAGGCTGAGATTTTGCCTGAATCACGTTCGAAGCCAAACACAATAGAACTCAACAAAATCCTATATAAACGACATTTTTCATCTTGTTTCTCATCGTTTTCCTCTTGTTTTTGAAACTGGAAAGTGAATCTGTTGATTAAACAAAACAATAACAGAACAGTCTTTATTTCAAGGCAAAAAACATTCCTTCCAAACCCAGCAGAGCCTAGTGTGCAACCCTTCTGTATCCTTGAAGGCGTTGCAGCAGTGCCCACTCACTTTCATTTGCATTACAGCAGAGAGACCCTCTGTAACCTTCCTCGCCCCCAATCGCAGACACACATGCTGTCAGAGTGAACTTGCGCTCAGGTCTCATTACCTCCCACACACCCCACTGTGTGATGCTGTAATCTGACAGTATGAAGGATGCTTCAAAGACACTGAAAAATCCACTTGAACGTTGCAAAACATGCAGTAAGCTCTCCCAAATCCTTGAGCAAACAGCCTAAACTGTACCCTGCCAAAACATAAATGGCATCAAAATGATGCATCGGAGTTCACCATGAAAGAATGCACTGTGTGTGCTTTTTAATATGCTGTAGAGTTTTGCCGTTAGAAACAATTAGACACAAATGGGGGTTAATCTGCTCGGTATAGGGGTGATGATATCAGATAACATGTCGACAAGTTGGTGCTAACTATCTAAAAACTTTTGTACGAATCTGAAAATTCTGTGATAGTCGCGCCATACACTGGCTTACAACGGTTTTAGGATGAAGAATGAAGATGAGGCATCCGCTTCAGCTGCATTTTTGTGATTTACAGTGGTACCTCGATAAACGAATGCTTCGCGTTATGAAAAATCCAAGATACGAAAAATAAAAATACAAAAATAATTTGCTTCAGGATACGAAAAAAATTCCAAGATAGGAAAAACCTGAACAGTTCTGCTCTCCTATCCGCTTGTTAAATCTGGCCATTTGGCAAACAGCGGCCCTGCTCACATATTATTTGAAAATTTTGCGTCAAGACCTGCAGTCTGACTGCAGCCTTACAAAAATGAGATGCAGCACTAGTTTTGAGAGTAAAATGTGATAGAAAATCACATTTTCACAATAAATACTTTAAAAAAACATAAACTACCATTGAAAGGTTTGGGGACACTTAGAAATTTCCTTTTATGTTTTTGAAGGAACTTTTAAACTGGTCAGAAATACTCTCTACACAACGTTAATGTGGTAAACTTTCTTGTGAAACTCGACAGTCTATTCTTGTTTTTAGAAATTGTTAGTGTTCTTAGTGTTCTTGTGCGAAAAAACTGAAGATTTCCTACAACGGTGTGTACTACTCCCTTCAGAGAACAGCACAAACAGACTCTAACCAGAGTAGAAAGAGAAGTGGGAGGCCCCGCTGCACAACTGAGCAAGAATATACGAACATTAGAGTCTCTAGCTTGAGAAATAGACGCCTCACAGGTCCTCAACCTGCAAAACACCAGCGCCAACATCTACAGTGAAGAGGAGACTCTGGGATGCTGGCCTTCAGGGTAGAGTGGCAAAGAAAAAGCTGTATTCGAGACTGGCCAATAAAAGAAAAAGATTAATATGAGCAAAAGAACACAGAGAGTGGACAGAGGAGGATTGGAAAAAAGTGTTATGGACGGACGAATCACAGTTTGAATTGTTTGGACACAGAAGAACATTTATGAGAAGCAGAATATCTGGAAAGATTCTGGAATGCTGCCTGACGCCAACTGTCAAGCAAAGTGGGGGTAACTGGGGTTGCTTTGGTGCTGGAAGGGTGGGAGTTTTGTTTAGGGTAAAAGGGAGGCCATCACTGCGTGCAAAGGCATGCCACACCCTGTGGACGACACTTGATTGAAGGCAATTTCATCCTACAACAGGACAATGGCCCAAAACTCCAAACTGTGCAAGAACTATTTAAAGACGAAGCAGCAGCTGGTCTTCTATCTGTATTAGAGTGGCCAGAGCAGTCACCAGATCTAAACCCCACTGCACTTAGTTCCCATCCAGCCATTCCGACTTGTGGGAGGTGCATCTAGAACCATGGGGTGAAATTTCTCCAGATTACCTCAAGAAATCATCAGCTAGAAGCCAAAGTTCTGCAATGCGGTAATTGCAGCAAACGGAGGATTCTTTGACGAAAGTAAAGTTTGCAGTAAATGAATATTATTTCAAATCTTGTCAATGTCTCGACTATATTTTCTTTTCATTTTAAAACTCATGGTAAATAAAAGTCTGGCTTTTCTTGGAAAACACATAATTGTGTGGGTGACCCCAAACTTTTGAACGGTAGAGTATGTGCAAAAGATCTTGTGTTTGCTGTACAGATCTGGTGCAGTAGCTTGTATTTGTTGTGATTTAATCCCAAAAGCAAAGACTGGGGTGTGTTCCAGTATCTTTGTGACCCCACAAGGCTCACGAAGAGTTTGAAGCAAGGACGGATTGATGGATCTGAGCAGTTTAAACAGCCTTCGCCCACTTAAGTGATGAGAACAGCACAGCGGCTGATCCAGGAGCTCAAGATGCCACAACATGACCTGACAAGCAAAATCCAGACAGCTTCAGCTGTTTTTGACAAGAGGAAGGTGGATTCAAGCGATTTCATTCAGGCAAACAACGATAAATATTGAGCAGACTGGGGTTGGAATAAAAAAAATAATCAATATAACGCATACACAAATAAAAAAAATACAAATATTTCTCTAGTATCTCACATAACAGCATCATTAGAACAATATACAATTAATTTAAAATAATCAAGCTTAATTTAGCTAAATTCTAGTAGAGAAATCCGTTATTTTGTAAACACGTTTTCTTTCATAGCTTTTTTTTACAGAGAGCATCTTCCTGAAGGGGATAAGGCTCCTGATTTAAACGGATTTATTTATTTCTGATTTAAAAAAAAATAGTTCTGTTTAATAGTAATTCACAAAAACCCTTGCTTCTTGTTAACAAAACACGTTTAAGAGAAGTCCACTCAAATCTGGAAGTTCCATCAAGAAAGACTTCATCTGCCTCTGACTTCACTAATCACACCAAACTTCATCAAACTCCCCGTTCTTGCAATAAACTGTGGTTGAATTGTTTAAAATTCTCTGAAATCAAAGTCTCGGAAACACTCTTTTCTTACCTGTTGGTCCCTCCAGGTTTTCCGCGTAGATCCTGACGGCGAAGAGCAGCAAGACCGCGCTCAGGTGCATGACCGCGTTTAGTCCAGGAGGAAAAGCCAGGATGCGACACAGCGGAGCCCGGCACAGATCCTGCAGCAGCGCTACTGAGCTCCATCCAGAGCCGCGCGGCACAGACCCCAGATCTGCTCGCTGACGTCACGGGAACTATTGAAGCCCTTCAGAACTCCAGAACGAGCCCCGTGCGCAGAGGAAGAGCAGTGGCGCCTCTCTCTGGCGAGAGGGTGGGTGTGGAATGGGAATAGTGGGAACGATGTTTCAAAACATGTGTTTTAAGGTTTGGGAATTGCAAAAAAATGGTAGTATTGAAATGTTAGGAAAAAAATAATAATAAAACGTATTCTGTTCCCTCGTGGATCATGGACAAGTGTTCATTTTGAAATGTCAACCAAATTAATTGTCTTTTTAAATCATAATCCATTTATTTGCTGATCCTAAGTTCAGCAAAAGCATGGTGGGCATGTTGGCTCATTAATTTAGGCATTTGACACTGCATTAAGTTTTTTGTGAGCGTTTGATTTAATTTTTTTCATTATTATTCTTTTTTTTACATATATTTTTAATTACATAAATTATACTTCCACAAAAAACAGAAATTGTACAAAAAATACAATTTAGAGCAGTAAATTTTTTAATAACAAAATTTCATAATATAGCGTAATCAAAAGATCTCCCAAAAAAGCAAAAACAAGGTCAAAACAATGTGAAAATTGCATACAATGAATCTTTCCCAAACGTTATAAACTTTTTCAAGCACTTTTTGTGTCATTGTGCTTTCCTGCTAGAATAGCAAAAGTCATCTCACAGGTCTTGTACTTCTTTTCACCACTAGATGGCATTGATTTGGGGTCTGTAAAACGAAACTGATGACTGGTTGGTCTAGGGGTATGATTCTCGCTTAGGGTGCGAGAGGTCCCTGCTTCAAATCCCTCACGAGCCCAGCTTTGGGTGGCATGGTGGCGCAGTGGGTTGCAATGTGGCCTTCCAGTTGGAAGGTTATCGGTTCGAGGCTCATCTGTAACCTTCTTGGAAGGAGTTTGCATGTTCTCCCTGTGGTTGTGTGGGTTTCCTCCGGGTACTCCGGTTTCCCCCCACAATCCTAAAAACATGCGATTAGGTTAATTGAATAATCTAAATTCCCCTTAGGTGTGAATGTGTGTGTGAATGTTGCCCTGCGATGGACTGGCGACCTGTCCAGGGTGTACCCTTGCCTCTCGCCCAATGTGTGCTGGAGATAGGCACCAGCAGACCCCCGTGACCCCGAAAGGGAAGAAGTGGGTATGAAAAAGAATGAATGAAAAAAAGGAAACTGAAAGATGATCGCAGATTTCCACATTCACATTTTTGAAAGCAAAAATAATGAATGAAAGAAAAACGTTTGAAAGAAAAAATAATAACCTTGATGCCTACACATATTTAAAATAAACAATAGCTGGGTTGCATCATTTATACTATATTATATTTATGGTTTAATGGTATAAGGTTCATCCTACTTACCGTAAGTGTGGCACGTGGCACTAGCAATGACTGAAATGAGGCAGTAGCATTGACCCTAACCCAATTGAGGTTATCAATTGGTGATCAATGATTCCGGACGGCCAGTCTCCTAGTTGACCCACTAATTGTTAGATGGGGAAAGCAAAGGACGTGTTCTTAAGCAGCAAGCAGGTGTACGGGGCTCAGTCAGTTAAACATACACTTGTGCTGCTTCCTGATCATGGGGACCGGTGAAGCAGTGACACAGAAGATGCCATCTGGGGAAACAGGTTCATCGGGGTACCACTGTTACCATATGTGCCCCATAAGAGAATCAATAACAATATTTTTTCTTTAGGATGTTGGCGGAGACAGTTACATCTTGCTCTCTCTCTCCCTTCTTTATTCTCTTTGCTGTCATCCTTGTCTTTCATCTGTCTGTGAGATAATCTCCCCTCCCTAATCTCCAGATAAAGGAACTATGGATCTGATCAACTGGTCTCTGAATGCTATCCTTCTCGGCGAGGAACGTGGCTTCCCACCGGGCAATGCACGATGGATGGTTGGGAGAAGTGGCACATCGTGTGCCTGGATGCCCTGCCCCTTTAGTACAGGGGTCCACAATTATTTTTTTACCAAAGGGCCAAAATGTACAAGAAGGCCATGAACATCCAACCCCCATCCCCTTTTCCCCCACCAAGGTCAAATAACAACCCCCTTCATCAAAGACATTTCTAAATACCGATAAATAAAACTTTTTTTATTTCTACTCTATCATTTAACATTAAAGAAACAGTGAATGTTCAGCTTATAAATACATTTATTTGAGGCAGTTCTGGCTACAGAAATGTTGATACTGGAGAAACTGTTGCAAGTTTTTAAGAACAGTACAACTGGGTTTTCGGGTTTTTGAATAGAAGCTTGGCTTTCATATTGTCTGTGTTAATTCCCCCCTAAATTATCAAAATCCCACCAGGGTTTTTTTATTTATTTTATTTTTTTAATTTATGATGTTAAAAATACTGAATGTAATAAATTCTGAAATTTCTCTCTGTGAGCAGTGCTTGATTTTAAATAAAAATTGCTAACTTGTTTGTAGAAGTGTTTCTTTCCTTTTTTATTTTTTTAAGCTCTGTAGATTTTCCCAGACCCAGTGTCTGTAGCATACCTAACTCTGCCATCTACCTTTAATATCTCCTGCTTCAGCTGAAAGTGCGGTGGAAAATGTCTGAAAATGTTAGTTTAGACTAACTTTTTAGATAAACTTAACCACATAAACTTAACGATATGAAATTATACTATTTGGCTGCAGTGTTGTAATCTCTAGGTTGCCCCTGGCATCAGTTAGCATCTTACTCAGGAGTAGACCAGTTCCAGTACACATTGGCGTAGCTCTGCAATCATCCTCAAGATCTTACAAACAAGATCTGTGTACATTTTTTACGTTTTTACAGGTTATTGGTTTACATTATAAGAGCAATACATTAAAATATTCAGCTGCACATAATTATGAATTTAGTTATTAGCCAAAATGATCTTTCTAATTATTTTTATTGCATCATTTATCTTTGATTACTGATTTTAGTTTAGTGGCAGCTCATGCCCCTTGTCGGCATGTGTACGAATGCTGCCTGTTGAAGAAAATTCTGTTCTTTCTTGATGACTCAAATATTCGTATTGCTCTTCAGATAAGCTGCGTACAAACAAGATAGTTGAAAATGATTTTGAGATTAAAAGAAAACTCCCTTTGACATTTTGATTTCTGACAACCACTTAGAATTGCAGCACTTTCCCTGCTTTTGAAATCTGAACATTGGCAATCTTGAATTCTTCATCCTCATCTTGAGCGTCCTCATGTTTCTACAGTCAATTACTCAAGTTTATATTAAGTTCCACCATTTTGCTTCATGTGCCTGCTAAGCGGTCCTATAAACAAGTATAGCATGGTTGCTTTTTCTGGCTTTGTGCTACCAGTGCTCTCTCACTCCATGTCGGATCTGTTTTTCAAAAGGAGAGTGAAAATGGGCTCTTTTGACGACGTGAGTAGAACATAATGGATCCGCTCGCTGATGTTCATCCCACATTTTCATTGCAACTTCGTACAGGAAACAGGAAGGAACTAGCTCGCCACAAATCCTCTTTTCTCTACATTTTTGTCAAACAGCTCCTTGTTCTTTGATTTCTATATCTACATCTGTTGTACCACAAACGCCATCTTCAGGCAGGAAGCATCATTGCATCCATATTTCCTAGACCCCGATGAAGATCACCCTGCTAAGAAGCCATCTGCAAATTTGTGAAAATCTCAATTTGGATCGCTATCCTATTTCCGTCTTTGTTAGGAAATCAAAGCATGCTTCTATGATGCTAACGAGCAAAGTTATGGGTCTTCCTAAATTGTTGTGGGTGTAAAAAGTCAGGTTGCTATGAAGGGCTCAGTGTGGTATAAAAATCCTGAAGTATCTCCCGTAGATAAAGTTCTGTTAATATGATACTCGAGAGGAATGAATAATTTAATGCTCCATCCCCCTCCACAAAGTGACATGCTGCCAGGGCAGGCAGGCCTCATCTGCCATTATGGGAAATTAAAACTAAATTTAAAAATGTGTTCTTATAATCAATCATTAATGTCATCGCCATTTCGGGTTTTTTTTCTTCCAAAATTGTTGAATATCACATTTATCGGCATTCAGATATTAACCCTTAAAAGTCTCTGCACGCCCCGGTGCGTGTGTCAATTGTCTGTCTGTTTTGTATTAAGTAGGAAGATGCGAGCCAACTATTGTTTAATTTTGATTTCAAATATTACATGTAGGTTTGAAAAGGTTAAGAGTTTAGAAATGCTAGGTTTTAAATGAACTCTACAAGAGTTATGGCACATAATTCTCAGGGTAATTCAAATAAAATGTGAGAAAATGCACAAACAACTTTCAGTTTCATGTTAAAGAGACAAAATCAGTGTCATCTATAGGTGAAAAGAAGGGATAACTCTTGGAAGTACGAGATCTGTGATATGGCTAGTGTTTTTCAAAGTTCTGGCTCAAAAAAACCCAATGGAACAAAAAAAATTTTTTTTTATAAAATATTCATATTGATTTGACCTGAGAAGATATTTTTTTTGTCTCAAAACTTTAGAAATGTGAGATTTCAGCAGTAAAAAAGTACACACTTTAATACTCTGAATTGTATTTTTTGTACAATTTCAGGTTTGTTATGGGATTGTTATTTAATGTAATGAAAAATATATTTAAAAAAAGAAGTTCTACTAAAAAATGATGGCATTGCTACAAAACTATTTATTAGAGAAAATTGTAAAATAGTAAAAAATATTCAAGAAGGTCCCTCACTTCTAAAAATTAAGATGAGACGTGCAGTGAGACTCTTTTATAGAACGCGATAAGTTTTTATATGATTTCAATCTCCCCGTTGCTTTTTATAGCCTAATTGCTATAAACATTTAAAAAAAAAAAAAAACCATTGAAAATTTTAATATTTGATCACCCCTGAGCGCACAATTGGTTCCAATAATGTGTTTATGTTAGAGCCTTAAAGTATTATGTTGATTCCACTTGTGCCAAAGTGTGTGTCTTGTTGCTCTCCAGTCTTCTGTACTCTAAACTCTTCTGATACGGTTTCTTCCACTTTAATCAATCTTTAATTCTGAAAGAAAACACCATGCTCTGGGGAGGGGGCAAACACAATTGTATTTAAATGTGTGAATAGCAATTATGTGCATAGGCTCAATGGATACAGATTCTTTTGCTCCATCAAGCAGAACTGGGAGTGATTGAAAATAGATATTGCTTGACATTTTTGTGCAATACAACACCTCGAATGCAAGAAAGGAGTGAGAACAAATGCTGCAACACAGAAAGCAAACTGACACAAAACTAATTTTACCATTATACCTATTCAATCAGTGTCATAGAGTGCTCAAACTCGCTACAGAAGACAAACTTCAATTGATGCAAGCTGATTATTACCATGAATAGCTGGTCTTGATTTGCCATGCATGAATTCATATTTATGTAAATGCCCTCCCATTCCTCTAGCTTTCCGGTTAATATGCAAAAGTGCAGGATTGCATGCAAAACTTCAGCATATATTACTGAGAATTTATCTAAATGTTTTTTTCCACCCATTACTGATTCTGACATGCTTTGGTCAAGACCATACGCACAGGAAACTCACTAATGGCACATTTAAAATGAAAATGCTGCCTGAATGCTGATCACAATCTAATGAAAGGGTAATTAAACCCATAGTTTAATTAATTAAAGTGCAATTTCTCAGTTAGTGTTCAACAGCACTTTAGATGTGCCCCTCCTGACAGGAAAATGATGTCCGATCTTAATTTCCCTGCCTGGACAGAATTTGTGTAGAGTAGACGTTTTTGTTGGCCAAAAGACCCATCACAGACCCACCGTGAATCGAATCCCGGTTTGGGTCAGCCACAATTTGCAA